CTGGAGTCACCCAGCTGTGTCTTGATCAATATACATCTATTATCTTAAAGAAGCCTCGTCTCAAGCTCTTTATTTGGCTTTATTGGAACTTGGGAAATAAAAGGTGCCATACAAGCTACTAACTCCTCTTTTTAGCAGTTTCCCAGATGAACAGAAGAATTCTACATACAAGTTCTTTCAACAGATAAAAATCTTAAAACAGTTCTTGCTTTGCTAAGTTTATAATTGTCACCTGTAGAAATTCATGTTTTCTTAATAGGAAAATAGACTAAGCATAATCAGAAGCCTTTTAATCAGGTGTATTATATTATGTTTTTGTGTTGTCTGTGTCTGTGACTTGTAATAAGAACACTTGAGTTGACATAGATTTCAGGTCTCCTCACCCCTCTTGCATTATCTTAACTGGTTATTCAAACAGCAGAATTAATTTTTTGAGAATGTATTCCAAAGAACCAAATCATAAAGAAAGCTCAGTAAGAAAACAAATGAATCTAAATGGTGAAATGATCAAATAAGGTTTTATTTTGTAAAGAAGAAAAATCAGACTGTTAATCTGGAAGTTGGAAAATTTTACAGCTAGTTCTCAGTCAAAAATTTGATTTTTCAGGTACTTCTGTATTATTCACAATTATCTTATTAGGACATTTGATTGAATGGTGCTTTTGTGATTCACCTGGAAATAGACACAGTTTCTCCAATTTTCCTGCTGAAATAAATGAAAACTCTACTTTAAAGAAAGAACAAAAACTAATTCATTAATTTAACACTTAATTTGAGGGCTTATTTACATCACATAGAACAATTTATTCTATCCCCAATCAGTAGCACTGCCATGAAATTGCAACAGAGGAGAACTAAATGTAATTGCAATTATAAGTAGCTAAGCTACATCTAATTTCAACAATTGTTACACACAAACCATAGATTTTTTTTTTTACAGTTATATATTTTATTGGGAAGTATAACAACCAGAGGATATGATGAAGTACAACCAAAAAGGTAACAGTGCTAATAAAATCGGAAAAGAATATATAGAATAATAAATAAATGAGTGACATTTGTAGAAACTAAGTGTAAGGACTGTAACAAACACTGCGTAGGACGAACAGGCAGAAGACTAGCAGAACGCATCCATGAGCACCAACTAGCAGTCAGA